TATGGTAGAGCACAGTGAGGCTATGGTAGAGCACCGGGAGGCTATGGTAGAGCACCGGGAGGCTATGGTAGAGCACAAGGAGACTATGGTAGAGCACAGGGAGGCTATGGTAGAGCACCGGGAGGCTATGGTAGAGCACAGGGAGACTATGGTAGAGCACAGGGAGACTATGGTAGAGCACAGGGAGACTATGGTAGAGCACAGGGAGGTTATGGTAGAGCACAGTGAGGCTATGGTAGAGCACCGGGAGGCTGGGAGAGCAACGAGAGTTTACTGGAGACGAAAATTTTTATCAATAATACTTATAAAAACTAACATAAAATCTAAACTACATGTCCGATTTTAATAATTCTTTTTTTAATCAAAACGGTTTGAGGGAACCGTGTTATGTAATCGCACAAAATATAATGGTACACGACGGGTAGTAGACTAGTTATAATTATTTTTATTTCTAAAATTAGGCTTTAAAGCACGATCATTGATCAATAATCACTCCATTGTAGAAAATAGTATTTCTAAAACTCTTAGGAAGCATTAGTTCCTGATTTGTTCAGATCTGATTCTTCTATATGATATACTATACACACAGACTGTAGTCCATTATCGGTAATACAAGTGATTTATATATAACACAACACATTAACAAATAACGTTTATAGCATAAATAACACGCAAAAACTGGAGCACAATGTGTCATATTTTGATTTTTAAATAACATAAAATGTCTGAGACTTAGATCCAAATTCTTTCAGATCTCTAATCCTCTCAACAAATCCTTTCAATGAATATACAATGTATAAAAAGATATGTTTGTCTATAAATACGTTTTTAACGAGATAAATTTTCCCGATAAAAGTGGCCACTATTCCCAAACCAGATGTTCTAGAAACAAATAGACAACATTGTCAAAGACCTCTAACCATGGTCTATCGTTCTCATATTAAATGATGACCAGGTCAGCGGGGCCAGCCTTAGCATTAGGGATGGGCATGCTACTTTGATATTTGAATTTAGATAAGTTTGTGAATAGATTTCGTTTGTGATTAGAAAAAGTGAATTTATTTTTTTAAATTATACAATAATTTTAACAGATTTATTGAACTTTTATGAAACTTGTTTAAATATATTTGCGAATCGGATATAATGAATGTAATCAATGCTGTTTACCGATTATACCTTATATCCGGATTTAACTTTATGTCTAATATTTATGAATTCCTTTGAAATATAATGACTGCGAGAATAAGGAAGAGAAGACCAGTGCCGACATTGAGGGCAAATCCGTGAAACACATACTCATGTGATAAACTCCAACCGCGAAGCATAACATTTCTTAACGATTCGGTTGGCATTGCTATCGGACTGTAATACAAGATTTGTCTTAAGTTTGGTTCGACTAATTCGANGCTATCGGACTGTAATACAAGATTTGTCTTAAGTTTGGTTCGACTAATTCGAAAGGAAATATCGCTCCAGAAGTGAAGAGTTGACTGAATGTTATGAATATTGAGATGAGAACCGCAACAAAGCCCTCGTCCACTATCGACGAGATTAATAATCCTAAATACAAGCATTCAAACAGACAATTAGATCACATCACCATCGTGGTCATCATCGCTTCCAATATCGCAAAACACGGCTGCATGCAAACCCATAAGCTAACGCAATTCCGGGTTAACCAATATATAATTACTATATCTCTCAAGATTAACACAACGAATAGTAAAGATATTACAATAGACTTAGAAAACAGACATTTCAATAGGTTTTAGTTTCATTTGATGAAGAATATGGTTCATAGCAGTTACTGAAAATGACTGTTTTTAAGTTCATTTCATGCGTTGATTCAATGCTTAAGTTGAATGCCATAAATGAGTTTTAACATTAGATTCTACGACTAAGAATCATGCAACAAATTCCACTCATACATTGGTTTTTAAAATCACAATGTTTCTACCACATTATGGGAAATTAATATGAGATTATAGCTTAAGTCTATAGCTATATTTTAAGATGGGACTTCTCCCATAGGTTAAATTTAACATAGGTAATGCTAAGTCTATGGGTGATGCTAGGAAATGTTACTAAATTATATAGTCGGAATAACAAAGCAAATAGTAAAAACAAAACATTGCGCAATACTAACAATGTAATTTTGCAGAAAACTTAAATAATCATGATAATAACACTTATGAATCGTTAGAAATTTTGAAAATGTCGCTATTGTAACAATAAAATTAACTGAATAATGAGCGTGGGTAGAAAAGTAGACTGGGTGAGGGGGCATTTTTGTAGGTCTTGTTATGTTAACCGTAAATGCTATATATGTTGGTAATCCTATCCCTAAATGGGAAGATGTGTTCAATTCATATTGATCTAAAATATACATTTAAGGAAATATAAATAATATTACCGATAGCTATAGCATTAGCCGCCTGTGCCATCACTAGGACTAAAATGAGTTCAATTGACCCATAATTAGTAATTTGAAAGACAATAAATGAGATGATTAACATTAAAATGATTTGAATGAAAGACATGAGACAATTGGTGACAAAATGTGATATAAAGACTAATTGATGTCCGACTCCCGCAACCAATGAGCGTTCAAAGAGTCCGTCTTTTCGCTCTTGTATGAGAAGCTGAGATGAGAGGGAAACCTATGATAAGACACAAATTGATGTGATTTGGTTGAATATGAAATGAGTGGTTGAATTAGAATACCTGCGATAAATACATGAATGAAATGAGATAACCCGGGAGTAAAAAGTCGGATAATTTAGAATTTTCTGCATATATAGTCTCCACAACTTTTAGAGGCGCTTCAATTCGACTCAAATTCTTTTCCATATAAATATCTCCCATCAGTTCGTATAACGTGAGTCTCAATGAGTCTATCAAACCATTTGCATACAAAAAGTTGGTGTTATCTAACCATAAATGCAAACTACTTTCACTAAGTGTCTGGTTGTCAATATCCGGGTCCTGTGCGCCGGCAATCCTCATATCCAAAGCGTTTGTATAGTCTCTATCAAACCAAAGCGCAGCCGTAACGTAGCCTTTGTCTACCGATTCAATCGCAGAGCTTAGAGATGTATAGTTTATGGGCTCCACATAATAAGCGTCCACTTGTTTTATTGAGTTTAATAATCGCAAACTATAATTAGGCTTCTCTTCGTCATTAAATACGGCCGCTTTGATCTGTTTTGACAAACAATTTGCTAATTATTCATTTATATAGACATTACTCCATCAATATATTCTATTGTATTCAATATTCTATGTAAATTTACAGTAACATTATCTTCTCTCAACTATTGTGAGAAATTCATTCAACATTTATTTCAATATTAGTCTATCACTCCATACAGTGTTGCCAAATAATATTTTGAAAATCCTGTATAAATGTGAGAAAATTGCCCAAAACTCCTGTATTTTTCAGTGTACAAAAACATTTCTGTATAATATAGGAAATTCCTGTATGTTTGGCCCTATACAGTGTGTACAACAAATAAACCTAACAAAAGTAAACTTGAATATTTCAAAAAGTATTTGGTTTAGAAATTCAAATAATATATCAAATTAATTGTCAACTGCGGGAGTTTTTGTTATGATATGGCAATATGCTTGACTTATTATATCGAATCGATATTATCGATTAGGTTTAGTGTTAAAATGTAAAAATAAACTTTAAAATGAACCATGATGAAAGATATGATGATATAAATTGCTTACCGGAATTGAGTCCCTATCGTATAGAACACAAAGGATGAGCGCTTGAAAAGCCGGTATCAGAAATATAAGGAACGAAACATTAAATTGTAAAAACTTGCTAAAGTTTTTTCGCACCAAAATCATTAAAATCCACAAATTAATGAATATACTTGTATTCAAATCGTCTCTTCCATTGTTATTCATTTGGTTTTGTTTTAAATCATTGGTTTTTGATGTAATTTTAATATCAATATTATTATTATGATTACCACTACTTTGAATGACTTTAGTATCGTTTTGACATAATTTGATGAAAACATTTTCTAAATTGGTTTCCCTATACTTAAGAAGCAGATCATTAGGAGATCCCTCTTCGAGAAGAGTGCCGTTCCTCATAATGCCCACCGTATGAGCCAAAGCCGCCTCTTCTATATAATGGGTCACTATTACAACACTCACGCCTTCAGCGCAACAATTGTGCAGATATTTCCAAATACTGTTCCCAAGCAGAGGGTCTGTACCCACAGTCGGCTCATCTAATATCACAAGTTTAGGATTGTTTAAAAATGCCAGAGCGAGAGACACACGCTTTTGTTGACCACCCGATAGTTGCGATATTAATTGATTCTCTTCCGGAAGTTGTAGTATTGATGATAACAATCCTCTTCTGTTATCAATAGATTGAATTAAACAACATTTTGTTAGTTTTGTTACAGCTTTCAAAATGGATTTTAAACTATTAAAATAGAATTATCACAAAGACGTAACGTATATGTGAACACCACAAAGTGGGTGTGTGTCCACATACACGTATATATCAGGTGAGTACAGTTAGGGTTGCCACAAGCTTCCGGTTGCCCGGGAGTTTTCAGAAATAAAGGTACGGCTCCCGTCTCCCGGCGGGTCTCTTCTAAATATGGGTAGCTCAAGCAATTCCATAGTAATACATTAATTGTAAATACATTGATCAACATATACACTTTTTCCTTGAAAAGTTAGAATAAGGCTAACTAATTCAAATTTATAATTCAGAATTAATTTTTTGTTTCTTATTTTGTTGAAACTTACAAAGTGGATAATGATTTTATATTGATAATATTTAAAAGCTTACATATTTACATGTTTTGTTGAGTTTGGACACATTACTTGAGTTATTAATTTATGTACATAAGGACTTTTAAAAACTAACTAACTCAAGGATAGCTGTAGGAATTCTCCCAAATATATCAAGAATCTCCAGGAAAAATGTACTTAAAAATAATTACACGACCCTCTTATCACAAATTTAGATATTAGGTGATGGAAGCATTGAACACATTGAACACGTTTATACATTTAATACTTTGTTACAAATATGATTAGATTTAAAACATACCTTTCATTGAATTTATTGCTAGACATGCGATATATGTTAGCAAAATATATAAGTGTTTGACTGACAGTAAATGAGAGGCAAAGAGCTGTGTCCTGAGGCATATACCCAGTGACGGGATTCTGGACACCGGGTTGAGAGTCAAACACTCTAATAGAGCCGCTCTCAGCCTTTAGTCGACCCAATATTAGACGCAAAAGAGTTGTCTTTCCCGCACCGCTCGGACCCAACAGTCCATAGATCTTGTGTTCAGGAATTCGCGCATAAATATGGCTTAAAATGGATTGTGTTTTATATCCATACGAGACATCGTTAACAGCGATGGCAGTCATTATATTATAACAATTGTTCAAAATTCAAATCAAATACAATACTTGTGTTCAAATCAAATCCAGTGAATACAATGAAATGCAATGAGTTTATGATGTTTGTGATCAACACACTTTCAATTATAGACTATCTTTTATAGTGGTTATGATTTCTAACTTTATAAAACATATCTTTATTTAATTTTAAGGTGTATTTTGTGGTTATTATTTGAATTACTTGACAAACTTTTAACTAAGATGTGGTTTAAATTTGATAAAACAAAGAATTCAAATAACATGTTGCATGTCATTATTGACTATTCTATTCATCAAACAAAATGTACTTAACAACTAAATTAATTCATTATAAATCATAAAATCATAAAATTTGCTCCAAAATATTACACACATTATATTACTGTATATTATTTATTTTAAATAAATTATTTATAACCAATTTTTATAACCAATAAATGTAAAATAATACTGATATAACATGTATATATTGTATAGTTTGCAAGAGCCAATGTTGTACTTGAGAATATACTGGTAGGCAATGATAGGCATTATACATGTATTTATTATTTTGTCATGTTATCAATAAAAATAAAAACTTTACTAAAATTTTAATTTAAACATTTCATTTAGGCTAAATCGTTATAAAAATGTGAGATGTTTATATGCTTTTCAACTAGATTCAACTAGAAACAGTTTTTATTTTCAATAATAGCAAAATATCTTGTAATTCTCTAAATATTTAAAATTAACAAATTTTCACAAATTCTTAACAATTGTGTAATGTATCAAATAGTTTACTTAAAACATGAAATGTAAAATTCTATAATTACTAATTTACGATAACTAAACTGTTTTGATGATAACTTAATATGATAGTTAATTTAGTCTAAATTACAATAAATAGTGGTTTATTAAATAAATGTATGCAATATATTTATAGATTGAGTTTACATAGTGTTTGAAAGTGTAGCCTAAATATTGATAAATACCTTAAACGTTCCCAAAATGTCACAACTACCGAACACCCATAATAATCAATCGAAAGTTTACGTTAATACATATCATAACCAAAACAGTATTGACTACATTGTAATTAACATTTCTTTTCAACATTTTCATTACTAATTACATATTTAAGTAATCATAATTTTAGCAAACAACTGTCACTTCAATTTTTAACTATTATTGATATATAATATACACTTCAAATATTTAATAATTTGGGTTTTATTAAATATATGTGAAATAAAACAGAGATTCGTTAAAAACATTTCACTCAAAACTATTAAATTTAAAAAAACATAATTATAAAAAGTTATTTGTATTGACATTAAATTGTTTATGAATTGAATGTCATGTAAATGATGTCAAAATAAATACTTAATGTATAGAGGCAATAGTTATAAAGGATAATACGATCAATGATAATAATAGATTTAACAATTGCTATACATTTAATATGTTTGCCGTGTTTGGGACGGTTGGGCTCATTTGGTTGACAGCTGTGGTGTTGTATTGATTTTCATTGTGGAGTTGTGTTATCATTGACTCCAGTTCTTGAAGTCCTCGTTCCGAGCGCTCAAACT